AACACTTCCCTACTCGGTATGTAATATACTATTATTTATTCAGCATTCATAACTCCCTAACTGTTTTTTAGCCCTGAAGATGCCTTCAAACAATAAAGACGAAATGTAGGCGAGTATTTGGTCGGCTTTTTATTTTTTGTACTTATACGACTACTTTTTTCTTCCTTGAATTACTGTCGACGTTTTTGAAAAATATTTTAAGCAAATGATCAAATACAGTGCGGCCATAAAGTAAGGAATAAATTCAATAATTATTCTTCAAGCATTTTTTCAAAAAATCCTCGAACACATCGCTTTTCTTTTTGTCGAGCATTTTTTATAAAATAAAATTATCATACAGGGTGGTCGCAGAAAAGCTGGTAGTAACTTAATTTTTTTAAATGGACACTCCTAAGGACAATGATCAATAAAAATCGCCTTTATTCAAGTAACAAAACATATGAAGAGAGTAAGCTAATGGACATTAATAAATTATATACCTTCAAATTGTTAATATATCAATTCAGATATAGGCACAAACTAAATATGATTGATCACCCACATAATACCCGACAAAAGTTGAAACTGAGGGTTGCAACTATTAAAACCAAAAAGACAATTGCTCAAAGAACAATTTCCTTTCTCGGGCCTTACATCTATAGATTTTTGCCAGATTTTCTTAAGGATGTCACTATATTGAAATTGTTTAGAAGTATTTTGAAGAAATGGATTCTTGAAACTCCCCGTACGTTTTTTAATGAACTAATAAATGGAAAACTCAAATAACATTACTTGCATATCGAGTTGCATATTCAATCTTTAGGTTCAAAGAATTCTTCTTTAAAATAGGCAAATTCTCTTTATGAATCTTGTTTTTTTGAAGTGCAGAGTGACAATGGATTTATACAACATAGGGCTACTGAGGTATTTTTTTGTTTTGTTATTATTTATATACTTATAATTATTGTTGTAAATTTATGGAAATGGGTATGCTCCCTGGTATGCTAAGGGTCAAATTTAGATTGTTTTGTGTTTTCAAGTACTTCCTATGACTACTTATTATTTTGTTTCAACATGTAAACGCGGTCTGCATAACTGAATGGAATAACAAGAAAAGTCTGCACACAAGTCCATCAGGACTTCAGCAGAAATGTTCTTATTTATTTATTTTCCTTCTGGTTACCTTGAAAGTAGTTTACTATGCGCTCGTCGAATCCATAATTAATTATGGCATTGTTGTTTGGGGTGGTGCAGGTGTGACTACATTGAACAAGCTCCAAGTAGCACAGAAATACATAATAAAAATTATGTTATTTAAAAATAAAAGATATCCAACTGAGTTGGTTTTCAAAGATAGTGAACTGTTAGATATCCAACAATTGCACCTTAAGGCAATAGTTAGATTTATGTTAAAAGTGCCTTATTATAAGGAACCTATTAGCCACGGAGTAAATACGAGAAACACTGCTAAGAACAATGTGACAAGACACAACCCCAAACATACAATCTGTCAATATCACATTTCTAGCTTAGGACCAAAAGTTTTTAATAGCCTCCCGAATAATATTAGAAACAAGCCATATCATAGATGTAAAAGAGAAATAAAACAGTGGATTCGTCAGAGTAATTACAAGATACATTACCTAATTTAAAAATAGTAAAAGATAATAACATTATTATTGTTTATATTTATATACATAAGTGAGTCAAATTAGGAACCTCAAGGGATAGACTGATATAGGAAAAAAGGGGCACACACAGTATTTCAAATACCATCGTGCACCCACATTAGGCAATAGTGTTAAGTATAGGTAAACTATATTGGGTATTTTTGTTATTATTTAAGGATACTATTGTTGATCAATAAATAAATAAAAAAAAAAAAAAAAAAAAAAAAAATTTTTTTGACATTTTCGGATTTCTAATAAAATTCTAAAGTCCTTTTCACGTGGCTTGGGTTTAAACTAACCGGGTTACAAAACGGTTAGTAGTGGTACGTCAAGTGATGACGTTATTGAAAATGCCACATGAAAAAGAACAGTTAGAAAAATGATATTTAAAAATTTAAGCAATCCAACTACCTGTCAAATATTTATAATAGGTTGATTTACCTTCCAGTAACTGCACCAAAATTTCCCGTGTATATATCTTGAAAAAAAATTCCCTATTATTTATTTTAACTTTAATTGCTTCCATGTTCGTCAATTGATTTATAGGTGGGTAGAAACTTTAAAATATTAATAAAACATAACTTAGTATTTCACCTGTCACAATTTTCCCGCTCTCTGTTGTTTACAAATTTTCTATTATTTTTGTTCTAACCGTTAAACGTAACCAATATCGCCGAGCTGGTTAGAGAAAGAGGATACCGTTTTCTAACCCCGTTACAAAGTGACGTGATCGATACCACTCGAAAACATGTCCTATACCTATCTTCAACTGTTTCGGAAATATTGACAGTTGGATATTGACTTTTTGCAACTTTGACAGGCTGTAAAATGTGAAAGGCTAATTTTAGAGGAAAACCGATTTCACATTTCTATCTTAGATTTTTATAGGTTTATGAAAATCTAAGACAGGAATGTGAAATCGGTTTTCCTCTAAAATTAACCGGTTGAGTTTTACAGCCTGTCAAATTTGCAAAAAGTCAATTTTCAACCGTCAATATTTCCGAAACAGTTGAATTTAAGTATAGGACATGTTTCATGAAAATAGAATTTTATCAGAAATCCGAAAATGTCGAAGAAATTAGGGGTGGTGTCCATTTAAAAAAATATGTTACTACCTGCCCAGCTTTTATGCGACCACCCTGTATAATTTTATTTTACAAAAAATGCTCAACAAAAAATAAAATTGACATGTTCGAGGATTTTAAAAAAAATTGCTTGGAAGAATAATTATTGAATTTATTCCTTACTTTACGGCCGCACTGTATACATATTTTAATTCTAGTAGAAAGTAGTTCTAGTTGGGAAGAGAAGCTTCCCACAAGTTCATGGAAAAAGTGGAGACCAGTGATTGAAGCGGAAGAGTACCAAAACTAAAATCTTAGAACGAGAGAAGAAATAAGGAACACCTCTGCTAGAACTTTGAAGATTAGAAAGGTAAAATTTGTCAACACACCCGACCACTGTTTTGAATTTATAACGCAGACACCCAAGGACTGGGATAGACTTCAGGCTTCAAGTATTAAGGAGTTGGGTTAGGCCTTAATGAAAATATGCAACATGTAAATGAAGTCATTGAACGATTTAACCGTGTACTGACTGAGGTTTGCTTGTATTCTCCCACATGCGTAAATGAGCAACGTGTTGGGAATCTCGATTGCCTCCAAAAATGATTTTAGGTTAGGTTTTTCCAAGATAAGTTATTTATAAGCTTTTGTTGGGCCCTCTACTAGTTCCACCTAATTTTTGATTGGGTTCCATCATACTATACGGAAACACTAAAACTTACAAGTTCGATATACTTTCTCCATAAAACCGTTTAGTTCCTCTTTAAAATGTTCAATTAGATGCGGAAAACATTAAATATTCTTATGAATAAATAAATTTACTGAAATTCATACAGGAAAATATTTGTCATTTAATTTACTAAGATTATTGATTTTATGTTTTTTTTTAAAGTTGAAAAAGTTTCTAAAATCAAATCACCTTTTTTCCTTACGAGACCCAGAAAAAAATTACTTTACTATTGATTCATTTTTTATTTATGTGTCATTATCGAAAAACAGAGCGATAGTGATATTAAACTGATAAGAATTGATAATATTCATTGATCTGTGTCAAAGGTTGAGAAGAGGATCGTCTGTTATAATTTTTATTCTATTTAGGCAGAGAGAATCATTTGGTACAGATTGATGAATCGGTAATTTCTGAAAGAAAATATAACACTGAAAAAACGGAATATATTCAATATGTCAAAAATCGATCCGCTGCGATTCTTTTGCAGATTATAACAAAACATGTAAGGGTCGATAGTGAAATATGGACAGGCAATTGACGCGCTTATTCTGGATTGGTAGACTATGGTTACGTCCACCGAACAGTACAGTAAACCATACCAAATATTTCAAAGATCCCATTACAGAGGTCTGTACCAACCAGGTGGAAGGGTATTGGTCTGGCTTGAAAAAATATCTCAGAGCTATGGGTGTTATGCATTCAAAATATTTGCCACAATATATTGACCAATATAGGTATGTGGAAGCAGATATATGGCAAAAATGCCATCCAACGAATGTATAACTTAACATTGCAAATTGGACAAAAATATTAAATGGTTTTTTTATAGGATTATTAAGTTGATTAATTACATATTTTGTTCCCTAAGGAAGTTTGCTTTGTTTAGTTTTAGTGGTTCTTAATTCAACTTTTCCTTTTTTATATTATAATGTATAGATACAAATGGTTAATGCAACTTATTAGTAAGAAATATAAATAAAACCTCTAAGAAACTATGACTATGGTTTTTTTTATGTTTATTATTATTTAAGCTCAGGAGATATCAACAATGTGGCAACGTTGATTGCACCTTGCATTTTTATTTCGTTTAATGTCGTATTCGATTTATGAAATGGTCAATTTCCGTCAGTTTGAACTGAATTTTCTTGGAGAAAAATGAAAAAACCCGCATTTTTTTTTTCATAAAACTATTATTTGAGTTGTCTATTTTAATGTAAAAGCTTCAAAAATGTCAAATTCGTGTTTCCGGATAGTGTGATGGACCCTTTGATTGTTCTTTCAGTGTACTTGTATGCAAATCCCTTTTCCACACATAAAAAGCGGCTAAACCTTAATTTTATTGAACTTCCAAAATATTTGAAACTGCATGTTATTAATTAGGTAAAGATCATACTATGAAGAGAGAGATTCAAGCAAAATAGTTACAAATTACGAAAATGTACCTATTTATCTCAACTAGGGAACATGGCTTGGCTATTGGCAGCCATTTTGTTTAAAAGTCTACTTTTCAAGTTCTATGTTCTATACAATAAAATTTAAATTAGGAACTATATTTACCTGCCCCCCAGGAACAAAGCCTCCTGTCCTTCTAGCGCCCACATTTGAAGATTGATTCTGATTGGAATTGCCTCCTAATGAACATAAAAGAAAAGTTGAGAAGCAAAATTAACTATAGACTCCATGATGGCGAAAAGCTCCACGAGTCCACGCCCGAAAATTTTTAAACAATAAAAACTTGTTTAGTTAGAAAAACGGGCGCAAAACTTACCAAAGACTGGGTTTCTTCTTGTATTGTAAGACATTTTTTTTGAAGATTGTGTAGAGGAATTTCTTAAAGTACTAGCAGAAGAAAGGCCTCAAACTCAAACCCTCCTACTCCTAAACAAGTTACGAAGAAAATGGCCGCATGAAACGTGAAAGCGTGAATCGCACTCTTGATGACAGGCAAATGACACTTCCACTTTCGTCAAAAGTGACATTATCGTAGAGCTGCTTTGTATGGGGTATAACGCTCGGAGCTATTCGGAGCGTTCAGCTCCCGAGCTGTACGTACAGTCGTACACTGGAACTTCTTGCACTGAAACGCTCAAATAAAATTTTGGAACGACTGGCAGCGCCACACCTCAAGGCCTCAACCAGGGTTGCCAGACGTCCCACCTTAAAGCCTAGTACTCAAAACTGCGAAATTCGCATTTTTTTGACATTGCTTCGACAATTTGACGTTTGATTCACGCATAAAACGTCAAATTGTCGAAGCGATGTCAAAAAAATGCGTCGACATTTTGATGTTTTATGCGTGTATCAAACGTCAAATTGTCAAAGCAATATGTCAAAAAAGTGCGAATTTCGCAGTTATGAGTACTAGGCTTTAGGAGGGACAGTCCCGCATTTTGTTAATCGGTCCCGCGTTTTTTTTATTAATTTCAGGTCCCGCTTTTCACGTTTTTTGTCCCGGTTTTCCCGCTTTTTCCACCCAATCTTCACATTTAGTGCAAAAACACGCTCATTTTACATAAATAGCTATTTCTACATTAAAAATCGACGCGAAAATCAAATAACGAGCCTGAATCGCAAACATTTCATCGAGGTCGGCGGGTGACGTCACCACTATTAGCTGCTGACTTGGTGACATCACTCGCAGACCTCGTGGACTCGAGAGCCGGCGAACGTACGCCTTCTCAGGATGAGCAATCCTGTTAGTATACGATTCTTTGGTTTTGATAATAATGAAGTTGTAGGTATAAAAATGTCAAAAAATCCAACAAAATCAAGATTCGGATTTGCACAAATAAAACTAGCATCTGCAAAAAACTTTTTTTCTGGCCATTGAAAAAGAGACAACTTTCGTCAAAAATCATTTTTTCCATGACCGTTAGAAAATAAACAACTTTCGTCATATTTCACCTAAGCCGAAAACTTCACTTTCGTCACTTGTGATAAAATATCTAGTGACGAAAATGAATGATTAGGATTTTACATCAAACGGGCAATGGTAATACCATTGCCGTTTCAAAAAATATTTGGAACGAATGTCAAAAAAGTGGCCGCGAGAAAACGGCTCATAGTTTATCACAAAATTATTTAAACTTTGCTTTATACCGGGTGCCCACGAGATCACTTTCCGGCTGCCATTTTTTTATTTGTGTATCGATATCAACAAAACTTGGTAGGGTTGATATTCTAACCAAACGCTATTTTTATGCATTTATGACAAGTTTTCCTAACTTCCGGTTTTACCGGAAATGACCGCAACTTTTGATTTTTAAATGACACACCCTGTATATTTTTTGTTTTTCGGATTCTATAGATCGTTTTACATCCTAATGCACCTCGGTGGTACATTAGGACGTAAAACGATCTGCAGAATCCGAAAAACAAAAAATATACAGGGTGTGCCACTTGAAAATTAAAAGTTTCGGTAATTTCCGGTAAAATCGGAAATCAAGAAAACTTGTCAAACATGCGTAAAAATGGCGTTTCGTTAGAATATCAAGCCTAGCAAGTTTCGTTAATATCGATGAATAAATAAAAAAATGGCAGCCGGAAAGTAATCTCGTAGTGGGCACCCGGTATAATGTAAAAAAGCAGAAAGCAGAACATACAGAGTGGCCAAAAAGTAGTGCATACAACTTTTAGCTTTTTAGGACCTTTTTTCATACAAAAAGTTACAGGTATTATGCGCTACTTTTTTGCCATTCTATACAGGGTGTTCCGAAACTATTGTGCCAAAAATTAAGGGATGTGATAGATCTCGCCAAAATAAACGTTTTTTACTTATAAACCCATAGGCGCATGCGCTTTGGTTAGTTGATAGTAGCACATTGCAGTCTGGGCTGTGGTAGCTCTCTGCACAGGGAGAAACGTGTTTCAGTGGCGGATACAGGGGGGGGGGGGGGACGCGAGGGACACTTTTAATAGAAAACGTCAATTTCTTAGCGAGATTTTTAAAAAAATCAACCCCTATTCTGAGGCTCAAATTTTATGATATCTTGATCCGTTTTGTGGCGAGAATCCAGTGACTTTCTCGGTTTTTTTCTATTTGTTCCCGAATTCGAGATATTAGAATTTCAAATTAGTTTGTGTGTGTGTGATAGAGACGTTTGTAGAAACCATACAAAATTGGCAAAATTTAATACCTGGGTCCTAACCAGTGGTCCTACCTAGTTTTGTAATAGCTATTTATGCACCAAGGGGATTATGTAGATTTATAATGCCCGAAGGCAAAACTAGTCCGAGGGCCTCTGGCCCGAGGGATAAATTTCCGCCTGAATGGCATTATAATCTAAAAATCCCCGTGTTGCATACAATGCTTTATTTTCTACTCAACACAAGGTTCTTTCATCAATTTAGTGGCTGCCTAGGGGTAAAGTGCAAATTAATAAAACAACAATAACAAAAACACCTCAGGGCATTATAAGCGGGCGTTATAGATCATACCATACCGTCCGCTGGGCTTATAATGCCCTCAGGTTGTTATAGGTATAGTAACGTATTCCGTTTCCTAGGTATTATAGATCTATTAAATAAATTTATTTTAATTTTCCTACCTGAACTATTATGTAGGTACCTATCTAATTTTGAGAACCAAAAAATCTTTTGTCGATAGATAGGTACCTATTTTTGAAAGGATGTTTCTAAAACATTTCAGGACAATCATCCTAGAGATCTTGCATTAGAAACATCGTAGCGATGTACCATTTATGTCGGAAACATAAGGACATAAATGGGATGTTTCTGGCAGATCGGTGTTATTAGGATAACCAAAGTCCGATTGTTTTGATGGGACACCGGATACGACGAATTTATATCTATAAGGAAAATGAGAAAGGTCTCCTAACACATTGTTTCTTTTGATTAAAACATCTATAATTTTTTTTTGAGAAAACTGCTAGAGATGGACCTTTAAAATAAGCAATAATAGAGCTATCAATGAGTTACTAGGTAATATACCTACCTATAGGGTTTTTTTTTATTAAAAAAATAAGACGAAAATAAAAAATTGAGTACGTCATTGAATTCTGCTTAAAAAAGTACCCCCAAGAAGTTTACATAGAAATCAATTATTTTCATAAATAAAAAAGTTAGGAAGGTTTCACCTTATTGCTCAAAATCGAGAAACATCCTCTATGGATGGCAAAACGGTTGAGGGTATCAAAAGGCGGTTTGCAGTGTTTGCAGCAATTAAGATTTCATTAAATTTGAGCCTCAGAGGGGGGGTTCATTTTTTTATATCTGGCTCAGAAATTGACGTGTCATATCAAAAGTGTCCAAATTGGACCACCCTGTACCTCCTACATTCTTTAACGTATAAGTAAAGTGAAAATAAATTTTCAAAAAATCATTGTTGATAATTCTAAACCTGCGCCCCCCCCCTGAAGAAAATCCTGGATCCGCCACTGACGTGTTTGAAGCAGAACTTGTGTTATTAAATAATACAAAACCGAAGGACTGTTTGCAGCATTTATTAAAAACAATGATTCACATCAAAAGATGCTTAAAATTACCAAGGAGATAAAATTACGACCACCCGCCTCAATGCATGTGTGACAGCGCCGTAGCAGAAACATCGGGTAGATTTCTGCAGAAACCCTTCCCGAACTGTTAGAAACTCTTACCCTGTATGCCAGACAAAACATGTGATCAGCACGACGGAGCTCCATCATATTACTCGTTAGCTGTAAGGAAACATCTTGAGCAAACATAATCTGGAGAATGATGGTAAAGGCGTATCTATTGCATGGCGTCCTCATTTACCAGACCTGACCGAATGAGACTTTTTCTATGGGTCATATGAAAGCTCTTGTATACGAAACTCCAGTTGAAACAGAGGAACAGTTAGTAGGAACGATTGTTGCAGCTGAAATTCGCGAAACGCCAGGAATTTTTCAACGTGTTCAGGAAGCTATGCTACGACGCTCACGCAGGCATTTAGGCGGGTAGTCGTAAATTTGAGCATCTTTTGATGGGAATCATTGTTTTCAATAAATACTGCAACCATGCCTTGAATTTTGTATTATTTAATAACACAAGTTCTGCTTCAAACGCGTTTCTCCGTGTACAAGGTGGCTACCACAGCACAGACTGTAATGTGCAGTGTTGCCAACAGTATTTTTTTAATTCCGTCAACTTTGCTGTAGATTTCCGTCAGAAATCCGTTAAACAAATTTTTCTTCCGTCAATAAAATCCGTCAGAATGAAAAATGCGAAATGCGCTAAACAAATAAAATGTATTCAGTAGGGCCTACCAAATCATGCAGAGTTAACGACATTGACGACAAGGACAATGCCATTTGATTTTAGGCGTTTTCAGAAACATTGATCCAATTCACCCGATCATCGGCTGTTTGTATTTTATCCTTTTCTAATGAAACCGTTGAAAAAAGACAGATAACATCAGCTAGTGATCGGGCTAGTCGGATCAACGTTTCCGTAAAGAATTGTTTACAGACCAACAGTAGCTTGAATCGCTTTATTACATTTAAGTATAGAACATAATTTAGAATTTTCAAACGGAAACTTACGGGTCAATTCTGTGCACATCTGTAAGCAAATCTATAAATTTCTATAAGCCTATAGACACTGCAAAACGCATCGATTGCCAAACAACCGATCAGGAATATTTACGATTCTATGAGATATTCTGTAATCTACAGAAAGTGCAGAACTGAAAATTGTCTATAGGCTTACAGAAATTTATAGAATTGCTTACAAATGTGCACATAATTGACCCGTTAAGCTGAATTTTCGCGACGAAAGTAGTTCATCAATAGTTAGTCTTGTGACGTCATGAGTTTGAAAGCTGGCTAGAAACTGCGTCCATGCTTCCGGCGAACTATAAAGTTCAATATGACGTCATGAGTTTCTCACGAAAGCGTTTGTGTTCATGAAATCATGGAAGTAGTTCGTCGCGAAAATTCGGTTTTA